TTTTTTTTTCCATGTGTGTTTGTTGCTGGGAATTTCCACAAACTTTTGATGATGACATTTCACTGCTCCTTGAACTGCTTACAGACTCAGTGACCATTCTGCTTGGGTTTTCAGCATTTTGTTGTGTTGATATAATAGCCACTTCTCCAACAGAGGGATGGGAAGGCAAAAGTTGAGGAGGTACCTGTTGGAACTAAATTAATTTAAAGGAAGAGAGTATCAGTTTTATATATACCACCTCCAAAGTTACCATATTGAAAAGTTCCCTATGTATTTGTCAGTAATTTGCCCTTAATAACTTTAAAACATTGCATTGTTTATTTTTGTTGTTGTTTTGGTTTTTTAAAAGAGATTCTGTCAAAAGTGAATAACTATCTAAGAAGTTTATAGAAGTTACTTTAAGTAAGGAAGTGTCAATATGATATTGTGCAGAGAATGAGGGAAGAACTGTTCATCAATATAATAAGAAGAGCTCAAAGATTTACCCTCATTAGCCTATTCCTTTAGCTCTCAAAATGACCTACCCATTTTTGCTGGGGAAGACAAACCTCCTCACCATATTTCCAACTTGCCGATATTTGAAAACTCATATTAAGCATCTTGTCCTTGCTCCCCACTGGGGATTGAACTCAGAGAGGATCTACCACTAAGCTACATTCCCAGCCCTTTTTTATTTTATTTTGACACAGAGCCTCACTAAATTGCCAGGCTGACTTGGAACTTCCAAACCTCTGCCTCAGCCTCCCAAGTACTGGGATTACAGGCATGCACCACTGCACCCAGCTACTCCTTGTATTTCTTACGTGTCTTTTTGGCAACTGTTAACTGTTCTAAATGGAAATCAAGCTTCTCAGAGTCTGTCTCCTAAATAGTAGCACTATAACTTACTGCAAAGAGATCTCTACTGACCTGGCTCTTTCCTCCACTGTGCTCAGTCTGTTCTCTTTTCTTCTGCCGTCGTTGTCGAGACAGGGAAGGTTCAGACCCAGAGCTGTGTGGCTGTAAACCTGGGTGGATTGTGCCTTGTTTCTCCATAATACATTCACTATCAACTTGATCCTTAAAAACAATGAAATTACATGAGTATACACAAAAAAAACCTTACAGAATCATGAAACAGTCTTCTGAACTTCAAATGGCCAAAATACCTACTGTTAAAATTGCAAAATGAAAATGAAAGGGGCTCTCTTTCTCAAAATGAATGCATATTTACAGTGTTGACAGGCAAAGACAAAATGCTGACACCATCTAAATGTTCTGGATTCTTTTTAATTTTGCCCAAATAAAAATTATTGTTTTAATTAAATTACTCAAATTATGATTAACCTGACACTACTTACATTTGATTCAGTTAAAAAAAACTCATATAACTTTTAATAGGTTTTCTATTCCAAAAATGAACAAATTTTCTGAATGGAATCCAATTTGATTTAAAACACATTTGCTCCCCAAGTAAACATTAGTTATTTGGATGCATACAAAAATGCACAACAAAAAGAGTAGTAAGCTTGGAGTCAGATGGAATTATATGTGAGAAACCTAATCTCCCTGAGCTTGGTTTCCTCATCCAAAAATGGTTCTAATACCACCCTCCCCCATACATCGTACAATTGTGCCTTGGTATTTTTGGGAGATCAACTCCAGGATCCCCTGCAGATACCAAACTCCTCAGATGTTCAAGTCCCTTATATAAAATGGTATTGTATTTGCATATAACCTATGCACATCTCTCAAATACTTTGTCATCCCTAGATTTCTTATACTGCCTAATACAATCTAAATGTTGTATAAATAATTGTTGTACTGTATTGCTTAGGGAGTAATAAGAAGGATAAAAGGTCTGTCTATATGTGTTCAGTAAGGATGCAATTTGTCTTTTTCCAAATATTTTCAATCTGTGGTTGGTTGAATCCATAGATGTTCAATCTATGGATACAGAGGGATGACTATATTATTATTATTATTATTATTTTAGTACTGGGGATTGAACTCAGAGGTACTCAACCACTGAGCCACATTCCCAGCCCTATTTTGTATTTTATTTAGAGTCAGGGTCTCACTGAGTTGTTTAGTGCCTTGCCATTGCTGAGGCAATTGAACTCGCAATTCTCCTGCCTCAGCCTCCACAGCCAATGGGATTACAGGCATGTACTACTATATTATTACAGTCTTGCACTACTATATTATGGCTCTAACTATATTATTGTTTAAGGTTAGCTGAAATGGTATACTAAAAGCAATTAGAACGATGTCTAGCACACAGATGCTCAAAAAATGAGAGCTACCAGTGGCACATAATAATAATAAATTTAAGTTATAATGATCACCAAATGACTTAGTATTTGATCTAGATAGCTGATTTTAGACTCTACTATATATTTAAATAAAACAGATTCTTGTATTTATTTAAAATTTTTTAAACTATCAGAATATCTTTGTTTTCAAGATGGATACTAGTAATTGAATATAATTCTACTGACACATTTTTACCAAAAGCCTACTCTGGTAATACATTTTAGACCATTATTATTTTAGGCCATTATCATTAAAACAACATTTTTAGACCCCTGGCAAACACAAAATTATGGGTAATTTATAAATTCTTTCAAGAGTATACCAATATTAGACATAAAATAAATGTAGTTAATTTTATATTACTATATAATAATTAGTTGAACAAAGAGACCAGGGTGATAAGCCAAAAAATGAACCAATTTTGAAGAAAGAAAGAGAAAAAGATTGATTTCTTTATTGGTGATTAAGTATAGAGTATTCTAAATAAAACTCATATATGTCCAAGAATAAAAGGAATAAATGACTCAATGTGCTTCTCCATCAAATCCATGAAAAAATTATCCCACTTTTATGAAGAAGAAAAACAACAAAACAAAAGGGGAAATACTGGACATGAAATTTTATCAAAGCAATAAAAAAATCTGCTCTAAAAACTTGGTGTAAGAAACAGATTTGATCAGGAACAAGAAAAGAATACTGACTTTCACCACTTCTAATCCACACACATTAGAAGTTTTAGGCAGGGCAATTAAGCAAGAAAATAAAATAAAAGGAATTCCAATTGTCAAGAAGTGAAACTATATCTCTATTTGCAGATCACAAGACATTATTTTCAAAAAACCTGAAGGAGTCCAATTAAAAAAAAATTATTAAAACCAATAAACAAGCTGGGTTGGTGGCACAAGCAAGTAACCCTAGCAGCTCAGAAGGCTAAGGCAGGAAGACTGCAAGTCCAAGGCCAGCCTCAGCAACTTAATGAGATTCTGTCTAAAAAAATAAAAATTAAAAAGGACTGGATGTAGCTCAGTGGTAAAGCACCCCTGGTTTCAATTTCCAGTACAAAAATAAAACCAATCAACAAGTTAAGCAAGATTGTAGAATATGTAGATAAATTCTACATACTAGCAATGAACAATCCAAAAACTAATGTATGAAAATAATTCAACTTACAATAGCATCACAAAGGATAAAATACTTAGAAATAAATGTAACAAAATAAGTTGGAAGATACTGAAAACAAGAAACATCACTGAAAAATAATTACAGAAGCCCTAAATAAATGGACGATATACCATATTCATGGAGTGAAAGGCACATTAAAATAGCAATGCTCTGCAAATGATCTTCAGATTCAAAGTACCAAAAACCCAGCATGTTTTGCAGAATTTGTCAGGATGGTCTTAAAATTCATAAAGAAATGCAGAGAATCCAAAATAGCCAAAACAATTTTTAAACATAAGAATAAGATGGAAGACACCCACTTTGCAATTTCAATACTTACTACAAAGCTATAATAATTAAAATATATTATATAGATAGACAGATCAATGAAACAGAATTGAGGTCTAGAAATAAACCCTTCCAATTTATAATCTATTGATTTTCAACAAGGGTGCCAAGACAATTCAATGGGGAAAGAATAATCTTTTCATCAAATGGTGTTGGGACAATTGAATGTCTTCAAATAAAAAAAAAAATGAAGTTGAATCCCTTCCTCATTTTATACACATGAATGAACTCAATATGGATCACAGACCTAAATTAAGACTTAAAAGTATACTTTCTGGGGCTGGGGTTGTAGCTCAGTGGCAGAGTGCTTGCCTCGCATGGTGGAGGCCCTGGGTTTGATCCCCAGCACCACATAAAAATAAACAAATAAAAATAAAGATATTTCGTCCATTTACAACTAAAAAAATATTTTTTTAAAAAAAGCATATTTTTGGAGAAAACATAAGAGTACATCTTTATGACACCAAAAGCACAAATAACATAGGAAATCATGGACAAAATTGAATGTCATGAAAATTAAAAACTTCTGTGCTTCAAAGAATGCCATCAAGAAAGTGAAAAGACAATCCAAAGAATGGGAAACAATATTTTTAAGTCTTTTATCTGAAAAGGATTGGTATCTAGAAGATAAAGAACTCTTCCAAATAAACCAATTAAAAATTGGCAGAGGGGGCTAGGGATGTGACTCAAGTGGTAGTGCACTCGCATGGCATGCGCAGGGCGCTGGGTTCGATCCTTAGCACCACATAAAAATAAAATAAAGATATTGTGTCCACCAAAAACTAAAAAATAAATAAATAAATATTAAAAAATTCTCTCTCTCTTAAAAAAAATTGGCAGGGGATCTGAATAGATTATTTCTCCAAAGGAAGTACATAAATGGCCAATAAACATAGGAAAAGATATTCAACATTATCAATCATTACGGAGATGCAAATCAAAACCACAGTAAGACACTGCTACACACCCAGAAGAATGGTTGGAATCAAAATGGACAAGAAGCGTGGAAAGGATGTAGAGAAAATGGAACTCCCACACACTGCTGCTGAGAAGTAAAATTATAAAATTGCTTTGGAAATCAATTTTATAATTCCTCAAGAAGTTAGAGTCAGTATATGACCCAGCAGTAATTCCATTCCTAGATTTACATCCAACAGAACTGAAAACACATAAAAAAATGTACATCAATGTTCACACCAGCATTATCCATAATAGCCAAAAAGTGTAAACAACTCAAACATTCATCAATTGATGAACAGTCACATAAAATATCATAGATACATACAGGGGAATTTATTTGGCAATAAAAAGAAGACTGGTACATGCTACAAGCTTTTCATGGATAAACCTTGAAAACATTGTGCTAAAGTAAAAGAAGCCAGACATGAAAGGCTATAAATGTATATAATTCTAAGGAATGCCCAGAATAGGCAAATTCATAGGGACAAATGTTGCCAGAGGATGGAGACAAGGAAGAATGGAGAGTGACTGCTGCTTGGGTATGGGTATTGGTGTTGGGAATAGTGTTCTTTTGTTTTTTGTGTGTGTGGGGTTTTTTTGTTTGTTTGTTTGTTTTGGGGGCAGGTGATGAAGATATCCCTCTAAGTTTAAACTGGAATACAAAATAACTGATTTTCCTGACAATTAGAGTATACCCAACTATTGTAACCACACTTCCCAGTCTTCTTTCTGAAAGGGACTCCAAGTGTATATTACTCACATGGTCCTTTGGCTTTGGGTCTTTGTTTAGAGGCTGCAACAGCTTCACTGCTCCACTCCTATCCGCACTGCCACTATCAGAGGACAATGTGAGAATCAGGCTTTCAGGATGAGCACTAGACTTAGAATTATCCTGTAGACTCTCCTCCTTCACTTGAGAAATACTGCATTTATCTTTGTGCTCACTAGAGGCATCTAAGTGTCTTTGTTGATTCTTCTGAATTAGGCCATCATTCATGGAGTCTCTTCTTTCTGCAGGTAAGATGTCAATATTTACCCTACTGATTGTGGCTTGTGACTCTGCAGTACTGCTCATATCCAATTTGTCAGTGTGGCCTTTCAGACTAGCAGGTGGTTTCAAGGGACCAATAACGATTGGTTTCTCCTGGGACAAACATTTATCTTCACTCTGAGCAAAAAGATGTTTTCAAATTATTAAAGAACTCCTGGACACACCAAATATAAAAATTAACTCAAAACTGAACAACACATTCCTCAAAAAGTTAAACATAGAAATACCATTTGAATTGCCATAGAATTACCATACTAGCAATTTCATTCCTGTATACATACTCCAAAGAACTGAAAGCAGGGATTCAATAGGTATGTGTGAACCAATGTTTCTAGCAGCACTATTCAAAATTTAGCCAAAAGATGGAAACAACCCAAATGTCAATCAGTGGATGAATGGATGACCATAATGTGGCATATACATACAATGGAATATTATTTAGTATTTAAAAGGGAGGGAATTCTAACACAGATGAACCTGAAAATATATCAAGTGAAAAAGCCAGACACAAAAAGACAAATATTATATGCTGGTTCTATTTATATAAAATATCTAAAATATGCAAATTCAATAAAGACAGAGTAGATGAGAGGTCACCAGGGCCTGGGGATGGAAGAACAGGGAGTTACTGCTTAACAGGTAAATTTTCTGTTTGTAATGATAAAAAGGTTTTGGAAATAATGGCAGTGGCTATAAGACATTGTGAATGTAATTGAAGGCACTGAACTGCATGATTTAAAATGGTTAAAATACTGCTGTGACAAAAAAAAAAAAAAAAAAGTTACAATGTACTCAAGTGGGACTTACTCCTGGAATGCAAAGATTACTCATATCAAAATCATCAATATAATACACCACATGAACAGAATGAAGGGGGAAAAACTACATGACCATCTCAATTGATGCAGAAAATGCATTTGACAAAATTCAACACCCTTTCATGGAAAAAAATGACATACTTGGAACAGAAGAAAACAATCTTAACATAATAAAAGCCATATGTAGAAAGCCTATACTGAACATTATACTTAATGACAAAATTCTGAAAGCTTTTCCTGTAAGATTAGGAACAAGGCAAACATGCCCACTCTCTCCACTTCTATTTAACACAATACTGGAAATTGTAGCTAGAGCAATTGAGAAAAAAAAAAAGAAAGAAAGAAGAGGCATTGAAATTGAAAAGCAAGAAGTAAAATGATTCCTCTTCACAGATGATATGATTTTTTAAAAATTTTGTTATTGTTGTTATAGGTAAACAGTATGCCTTTATTGTTGTTGTAGGTAAACAGTATGCCTTTGTTTTATTTGTCTTATTTTTATGTGGGCTAAGGATAGAACCCAATGCTTCACATGCGCTAGGCAAGTGCTCTGTCACTGAACTACAGCCCCAGTCCAAGATGATATGATCTTAAATGTAGAAAACCCTAAAGACTCCACAAAAAAACTGTTGGAACTAACAAATGAATTTAGTAAAGTAGCAGGAGACAAAAATCAATAAATAAAAATCAGTTATATTTCTATACACTAACAATGAACAATCTGAAAAGAAAATTATAAAAATAATTTCATTTATAATAGCATCAAAAAGAATTAAATAGCCAAGCTTGGTGATGTACTCCTATAGTCCCAGCTACTCAGGAAGCTAAGGCTGGAAGATTCCAAGTTCAAGGTCAGCCTGAGCAACTTAGAACCTGAGTTAAAATAAAAAATAAAAAGGGCTGCGGACATAGCTCAGTGGTTCAGTACTCATGGTTTCAATATTCAGTTCCATACACACCAAAAAAATGATAAAATAGAGGAATTAACATAACCAAGGATGTGAAAGACTTGTACAAAAAAAATTATAAAACACTGCTGTAAGAAATATGAAAAAAACCTGCTATAGAATTCATTGGGAATCCTAAGGGATCCTAAATAACCAAAACAATCCTGAAAAAGAAGAACATAGCTAGATGACCCACATTTCCTAATTTAGAAACTTATTACAAAGCTATAATAATCAATGCTGTAAAACTGAAACTGACAGACATATAAACCAATATAAATGCCACATGAATGAACTATAAAAACACACTAAGTCAAAGAAGCCAGACATGAAAGGTCACACATTATATGATTCCATTTATATGAAATAATTAGGCTAGGTAAATCCATAAAGACAGAAACACACTGATGTGGGTCTGCAGTTGTAGCTCAGTGATAGAACACTTGCCTAGCACATATGAGACACTAGGTTCGATCCTCAGAACCATATAAAAATAAATAAATAAAATAAAGAAATTAAAAAATACAGTAACATAAAAAAAAAGAAAACACACTGGTGATTGCCAGGAGCTGGATGGGAGAGAGAAATGGGAGTGACTGCTGTAAAGGATTTCCTTTGTGCTAATGAAATGTTCTGGAACCAGATAAGAGGTGATGGTTGCACAACATTGTGAATGCACTAAATTCACATAATTGTTCACTTTAAAATGGTTGATTTTAGGGCTGGGGTTGTGGCTCAGCAGTAGAGCATCTGCTCTACTAGCACATACAAGGCCCTAGGTTCGATTCTCACAACCAAATGAAAATAAATAAAATAAAAAGATATTATGTCCAACTACAACTAAAAAATTAATATTTAAAATAAAATGGTTGATTTTATCTTATGCAAACTTCATCTCAAAGAAATCTAAAAAATTTTTACATCCCTGACTTCATGAACAGTTCAACAGCCCACTGTGAATAAAGTAAGCTAAAATAATCACCTCACCAGTATTTTTTCTTTATAATACAGGCTTAATTAAAGCTCAACATAATCTCTAGTAAAGCATAATCATTTCCCAACAAAATAATTTGTTTTTTTTTTTTCCTTTCAGTACTGAGGATTGAACCCGGAAGCACTCTACGTTTAAGCTACCACCTCAGTCCATTTTATTTTTTCTCTTTCGAAACAGGGTCTCACTGAGTTCTCCAGGTTAGCCTCAAATTTGTGATCTTCCTTCCTCAGCCTCCTAAGTCTCTGGGATCTTACAAATGTGTGTTACTATGCCCAGAAGATAACCTATTTTTAAAATAGTTTCTAAAACATTATTCTTTAAAAAGAAACATACCATTATATTTGTCTTAGAATCCTCAGCAGAATATTGTTGGTGATGGATTGCTTCAAGATTTGATCCTGCCTTTCTGGAAACCACAGTAGCAACAGGCTTGGATTTAGAATCACCATTTTTGATGTTATTTTTGGAGGTTTTTCTTTATAAAGAAAAAAAGAAGGGTTATTATCAATATGGTGAAGATTGAGAGTTTTTATGTATATATGAAGACGTATATACGTTATACTTCCTTAAGCATCATTTATAGAAAACAGTCTTCTAAAAATCTAGAAGGCATTTTACAAAACACCTGACCAGTAGTCTTCAAAACAAACAAGATTATTAAAAAAAAAAAAAAAAAAAGTGAAAAGCTATCACTGACCCAAGAAGACTAAGGAGAATGAGTATTAAATATACATTAGTAGGACTGGGGTTATGGCTCAGTGGTAGAACACTCACCTAGCATGCGTGAATTACTGGGTTACATCCTCAGAACCACATAAAAATAAATAAATAAATAAAGGTATTATGTTCATCTACTACTAAAAAAAAAAGTTTTTTTAAGGGCTGAGGTTGTGGCTCAATGGTAGAATGCTTGCCTAGCATATGCGAGGCACTAGGTTTGATCCTCAGCACCACAATAAATAAATAAATAAATAAAACTTATATTTTTAAACAAAAATTTTAAAACTATAAAACTATAAATTTTAAAACCATGGTATCCTGGACTGAATTCTAGAACAGAAAAAGGGGCATTTGGAGAAAAAACTAGCAAAAGCAAAATCAAATCTGGAGATTAATCAAGAGTAATTGTACCTTGGCTGGTTTCTTAGTTTTGATAAATGTACTATGGAAACATAAGGTGTAAATGATAGAAGAAACCAGGTGAAGGGTATACAGGAACTCTTTATACTATCTTTGCAACTTCTCAGTAAATACAAAGTTATTCTATGATAAAAATTCTACTAGAAAGTTCCTCACATTCAGAAGAAACAAAGTAAGTTTCATCTTCCAAGTTTCACATTAGCAATAATACCATAACTGCTTTGCTAAATTTGAGAGTAGAAATGATTGGTATACATTTCCTGACTTGCAGAAAAATATTATACAGCAAAGTCATGCCCTGGCTGTTTTAGTGTGTTGTTTCTACATCTGGGGTAAACCTCTGGAGAATTCAAGGAAACTACGGATGTCAGGACATGATCTCCATGATCAGAACATGGAGATCACAGCAGAGGACAGAGATCCAAAACATTATTTTGAGCTAATGGCACTTAAAGAACAGCAGGTATGAGAAAGGTGCTCTGACCCTCCTTTGTCTTCGTGAAAGTAAAAGATAAAACCCCATTTGAAAGATGTCCTCCCTCTATCAGAAGAAAAGGCCAAAGGTCTATCTGGTTGGAAATTATACAAAATATGAATAAAAAGATGGTCCTTCTTTATTCCCTGGCCTCTCTCTGGCCTTTCTCCTTTCAAATTTAATTTGCTACCACAAAAAGAGAAGCCAAAAGAGTGACAATCTTCTTCAGCCCTAAACACCAGTTTGGTGAAGGTAGAACCTGTAAGTCAAAAAAAGAAACTCTTGGGCTGGGGTTGCAGTTCAGTGGTTGAGCGCCTGTCTTGCATGCATGAGGCACTACGTTTGATCCTCAGCACTATATAAAATAAATAAATAAATAAATAAAGATATTGTATCCATCTACAACTAAAAATATATATACATATATATTTTTTAAAAAGAAATTATTTTCTACAAAAGTTTTATGAATAAAAAAAGAAACCCTATGAACCAGGCACATTTGTGCATGCTTATAATCCCAGCAACTCAGGAGAATGTAGGCAAGAGGACAACAAGTTCAAGGTCAGCCTTAGCAACTTAGTAAAGCCCTATACAACTTAACAAGAATTTGTCTTAAAATAAAAATAAAAAGGGCTGGGGATTGTAGCTCGGTGGTAAAACAGCCCTGGGTTCAATCCCCAGTATCACAAAAAAAGGGAGAAATTTCACAAATGCTCAGGAATTTGAACACTATTTTTATATGTATACAACTATCCTCTTACATAATAACTAATATAATAGTAGTACTCTAAATAGTTCCCTAGATTTATGATTTTAGCAATTAGGCAAATTTCCACATGTATTTCAAAGGTGCCAGAATATGCCATCCCAAAATATGCCACTTTGGCAGAAGGATTACTTTGACCTAACAGCACTTAAACCGCAAATGCAAGAAGGATGTGCTGATCTTTCTTTTTCTTCCTGAAAGCAAGAGAAAAAAACCCTAATGGAAGTTGTCTTCTCAGTATCAGAAGAAGAGTTAAGGGCTGTGGATATAACTCAATTGGTAGAGTGCTTGCTTTACATGCACAAGGCCCTAGGTTCAATCCCCAGTACCACCAAAAAAAAAAAAAAAAGAAGAAGGAAAGTTAAGTTCTTATCCTGAATGGAAAATTGAGACTGAGAATTCTATACAAATATAACTCATTAAAGTAATTCTTAGCCTCCTTTGACTTCTCCAGTTCGATTATTTTTCCACAATTGTCTCTCCTATTCAATCCAGAATTTTGCATTTAGGTTTTACCACTCTTTGAGGTCTTCATTTCTTTTTGAGAGCTCCAGTGTCATGTAAGTGTTATTAAATAAGTGTGTGCTTTTTTCTTGTTAATTTGTCTCACATCAGTTTCTTGGGCCCAAGCCAAAAATCCAAAGAGGGGAAAATTTTGCCACTCTGCATATTCTAATAATGCAATTTTACTTCATGTTTAAAAAACACTCACCATAAATTATTGCATATGAAAATTATAGAAGCTACCATCTATTTGTTCCATCTATCTAGCCCAGCTATTTACAAAGGAAGTATCTTACGCCTTCGTGGCCTCCAAAAACACAGAGATTTGGCGTTTTATATAAGGCTGCCTCAGGATGCTTCTCACAGAGGGTCTTTCTTCAGGTCTTTTGCTCAGCATTGTTCTTATCAGTTCTGCCAGCTCTGGGCTATAAACTCTTGGCATTGGTGGCAGCTACAAAGAAAAATAATAATGCAATTATAACTAGTGATCTTATGAATTAAATAAAAGATAATAGAAGTTTCCCAATATTTACTTAATTCTTACATCCATACATCCACTGAAGTAGAAAATAAACCAGCCTAGAGCTGGGAATGTGGCTCAGTGGTAGAGCACTCGCCTGGCATGCATGAAGCTCTGGGTTCAATCCCCAGCACAAAAAAAAAAAAAAAAGAAAGAAAAGAAAGAAAGATTTATATACCAGGGTGTTCAATGCAGTGTTGTTCAACAAATAAAAACAAATTCCCCTCCATATTGAACCTGTGGAATAAAGTATGGTACATTCTTCCTATAGACTACTAGGCAGCTGCTTAAAAAATATAAGACAAGTATTGACCAGAAAAGATGTCTCTTATGCATTAACCCAAAAAAAGGAAGTTGTGTACCATGGAATACAGCCTGATTCCATTTCAGTTTCTTTTTTTAAGTGTCTGTATGTGTATATATACTGAGTCATGTCTGTCTAAAGGCAGAGAAAAGCTAGGGGAAACAAAAGAGAAGGAATTTCACTCCTTTCTTTTAAATTTTTTAAGTAGTAGAATATAGAAAAATTTTAATTTTTGTTTGTGTTTTTTTAATATTTTTCAAATTAAAAAATTAAATGAGTCTTGGGATAATACTAAAATTAGCAGGTGATCTGGAATCTTAAAATTTAATGGTGCGCAGACTCTTGACACTACAAAGGGCAACTACCCTCATAACATACAAAGTTAGTGCAATGGCACATGTCTGTAATCCCAACAAATGAAGAGGCTAAAGCAGGAGGATTACAAGCTCAAGGCCAGCCTCAGCAACTTAGTGAGACCCTGTCTCAAAATAAAAAATCAAAAGGACTAGGGATGTAGCTCAATAGTAAAGCATCCCTGGGTTCAACTCCTAGTTCTAAAATGCTTTCTGCAGTTTCTAACCACATTAGTGATTGTGATGATTTTGAATGGAACAAGTTCAAACAGAGTAGACTCATTGTAAATAGACTCACTCAACCATCAGCTGCTCAGGAGATGATGCCAACAGCCTCTCAGAGCATCAGCACATCCTGTGGCTACAGAGAAAGATTTTCAAAAAGTAGATTCTTTTGAGCCATTAAGCCATCTCTCTTTTTTTTTTTTTTTTTTGTCATCATGTTGGGGATTGAACCCAGGGCCTTGTGCATGCAAGGCAAGCACTCTACCAACTGAGCTATATCCCTAGCCCCCATTGAGCTGCCTCTACAAATTAATGTAAGAAATTATCAAAGCCAGGCACAGAAGTATACACCTGTAATTTCAGTTTCTTAGGAGGCTATGACAATAAGACAAGTTCAAGGCCAGTTTGGGCAACTTGGTGAGACCCTATCTCAAAATGAAAAACAAAAAGGGACTGGGATATAGCTCAATGGTAGAGCATCCCTGGCTTCAAGCCCCTGGACCACACAGATACAAAAAAAAAATAATAATTCTGTCTTTTTAAGTTCAGTCTTACATAGAAGGAACCCACCTTCCCTCTATCCCAACCAATACTGGGGACTGAATCCAAGGGTGCTTTATCACTAGACTACACGCCCCCTCCCCCACCACCACCACTTCTTTTGAAACAAGATCTTACCAAGTTGCTGAGGCTGGCTTTGAACTTGAGACCCTCCTGCCTCAGCCTCCAAGCAGCTGTGATTACAGGCATGCCCCAACACATGCAGCCTCCCTTCTTAATTACTCACCCAGTATCAATGACTATTCATTAACTAACCAAAATCATCCAAGATTTTACCAGTAGTTATTTACAAATCTGCATTACATAAACCTTGCTTAATTAATTCTAGATTAGCTTTTTACCTTTCCTTCAATAATCCGATAAACTAAAGAATTCATGTCTTTTGCATTGAAAGCATGTTTCAGGGTGGCCATTTCATAGACACAGCATCCCAAAGCCCAAACATCAGACTAGGAAAAAAAAAAGTGAGTGATTAAATGCTAGAAGACCTTATTTTCACTTTTCCCTGTTTAAAAAAAAAAAAAAAGATATTGCCCTTTAATCAACACACAGATAATTCTGATTTAACTGTTCTGATGGGTTCTAAAATGAATACTCTCCCAGAGACCAGGTGAAAACATGCATAGCCAATCCTACCTTATAGTTGTAGGGTCTGTTTGAGAACAATTCAGGGCTCATGTAATAGGGTGTGCCAATGAGGGTGCTTGCCATGTCACAGTGGTTTTCTAACACTCGAGCAATTCCTAGGTCACCCACTTTGATGATGTTTGTTCTTGTGAGAAAGACATTTTGAGTTTTCAGATCTCGATGAAGGATGTGTTTTTCATGTAAATACTGAGAAGAGAAATCGAATCTCATTTTATATAAACATGCTGATTTATTTATTTATTCCTTTTTAAATATCATCAGTAATTGCAGGAGTTAAAGAGCCTTCATTACCTATCTACCAAAACATTAATGTTTTATAATCTCTAAATAAAATACAACCTTCAAAGTAAAAATATTATAAGTTCTATGCATTAACTGGCCCTTAACCTTCCAAAATTGTTTCCTGGTACCTTGACAATCACACCATTTTAGTGTTACCTGGATCCAGTTTTAAAATATGCCTACAAACTACCACTGAAGGTAGGAAACTTACACAAAGTCAGGTGTGCATTCCTCTCAGACTCAGGAAATCCTGGGCATAATGTTTTCAAATATTATAAGATCATCTGTATTTAGAGAATATCTTAGAACTTAAACAACAAAGGCAAGTAATTCTGGACAATTCTGCCCAGTTCCAGATTGGCAGTTCACAAACAGTCTCACTCTGGAGTATGTGTATATTAAACAGAAATTTGTGCATTTCTACCTCCACTGCCACAGCAAGATAAAAACCCAAACTCCCACTGTTTAGGAATATTAATTAGAAAAGCCACCTTTCAGCATGACACAGCTCACCAGCTACTGACAAACATGATCATTCTTTGCTCTTTGTTGATTCAGGGTCCTTTTTTTTTTTTTGTATTAGGGATTGAACCCAGGGACACTTAACCACTGAGCCACATCCAGCCCTTTTTTTTTTTTTTTAATTAATTAGAGACAGGGTTGCTTAGAGCAACCTCACAGAGTTGCTTAGGGTCTTGCTAAGTTGCTGAGGTTGGCTTTGAACTTACAATCCTCCTTCCTCAGTCTCCAGAGTCACTGGGATTACAGACATGCGCCACCATGCCCAGCTGACTTAGGCTCCTTAAAATTGACCTTGTTATGAATATTAAATGAAAAAAGAATGAACTCTCTGCCCCCTGCAATTAGACATGGAATCTGTGTATACTATAATATAGATATCACTCACTCAGAAACATTCCAATGTTACAGTAAGAGGGACAGGGTCCACTTTATACATACATTCTCCAAAAAATGTTTCGTTCATGTAAGCATTGGGGAAATTTTTTCTTAAAATACACATCATCTTCCTGCCACCTTGGAGCAAGTGGGATGTTATGAGTATAAACAGTACCTGCAAAGCCATGGCAATCTGTACAAACCATTCTACCACCTGACTTTCAGGCAGAAGTTGCCCTTTTTGCTCCTTGAGCTTCCGGTACAGATCACCTCCTTCACAGAAGCCCATGACAATGTAGAGCAGGCCATCTCCTCCCTCCCATGACTCTTTGTAGGTGACAATGTTGGGGTGCTTCAGCTGAGACAAGAGCTGAGCTTCCTGTTCAGCAGCTCGCCGTTCTCGGCTGGAGGCATTTCGGAGGTTCAGTTTTTTGATGACATACTAACAATGAAAACACAATATGCATGTAAACATACAGTTTTGTAGGTTCTAAAGTGTCTAAGAGCTTTTAAAAATGTCCTCAAAACCAACCTTCTGGAACCAGTCAGATAACCCACTAATTTTGTATTTTACAAGCATAAAATTGCTAGAGATGTAACTCAGTTGATAGAGCACTTTCCCAGCATGCACAAAGCCCCTGATTCAATCCCCAGCACCACAAAGAGAAAAGGGAAGCATGAAACCAGGGAAAATTTTTGCTTTTACTAATGATACTTTTTATAAGTTGGGCCATGTAGGGTCACAAAAAAGAAATTATCCTTTCCCTCTGCAGTTTACAATTTCATTGAGCCAAACCAGCAGTCCCATCTACTTTAAGAGACTGAGACAGGATTGTTTGAGTCCAGGAATTCAAAGCCAGCTGGGAATAGTGAGATCCCCATCTCAGAAAAAATGGTATGCATGGTGAAGCACACCTGGAATCCCAGTGACTCAAGAGGCTGAGGAAGAAGGATTGTAAGTCCAAGGCCAGCTTCAGCAACTTTACGAGCCCTAAACAATTCAATAAGGCCCTGTCTCAAAATATTTAAAAAAAAAGTAGCTCAGTGGTAAAGTACCCCTGAGTTCAATTCTCAGAACAAAAAAAGGAAAAAAAGAGGAAGAAGAAGATGACAACAAAACAAAAAATATACAAATTAATTAATGGCTAAAAAGTGAATCAAAAATAACATACCATTGGATCAGTCATAAAATCTGGGTTAGAGAGTCCTTAATTCCTTAACCTCTAAGTTCCCCCTACAAATAGGCATAAAAATATATCTTGAATATACATCTCCAGACAGAATGGGTTTATGGATATTCCATGAGTTATTAGATAATCCATGGTCCAGGAAGGTTGAAAATCACCGATCCTCAACCTACAAAATTATTCTCACTTTAAAAAAAATCAACATGCTTTAACATCTACAATACTTCCCTCACTCAAAAGACCATACAATTCATTTCTTCAAAAACATATACAAAAAGGTGCTTTGTGAAATGTAAACTACTACTCAAACATGAAGGGCTATTATTATAACTAATCTCCTGTCCTCAGCTCAAAAATCTAAGGAAAATCCCCCTGTGCCTATTGAATAAACCTCTTATGCTTGAGCTTGTGTTCCAGGCACAGCAACCAGCATCTGGGACAAGGAGGAATAGGTAAGTGGGCCTCTGCTTAGGGTGAACATCTCTTAGTTTGCCTGATGCAACTGGGTTGTCAGTGATCTGTTAATGGTACTTCCTTTCAGTTTCAAAATTGTCCCAGCTTGTACAACACACTATGTAATCACTCTTCTTAATAAACCATATTGAAGAACTTATTCATTATCCTTTGGGTGACAGGATAAAGTGTTTTAAGCAAAGTTGTGACAACATCGCTTTGAAGTTTTAAAAAGAGCATGGAAGCTGAAGGAAAGTAAGTGATGGGTCACAGAGCAGCAATAGGTGTGGGGAAGAAAAGTGGTATCCTGGATTGGGCTGGTGACATTGGAGACAGAGAATCCTGTTGGCTTAGTGATGTATAAATATAATCAGAGTTGGGGGGCATTAAAGATAACCCATGTACCCAGCGTGGGAAACTGCATGGCTGATGATACTGCTTAATTGAAATAGGGGCTGGGAATGAAGGTTTGGCGGGAAGGTGATGAACTGAGTTTTAAATGAGTCCAGCAATCTGCAGTTAGAGAAGTTTGGGACTCTTTGTTCACGAAGTAAGGCTTGAGAGGTGCTGGGTTAGAATGCATGATACTTGCCAGCTCACATGGAATTGTTGGGGGTGGGAAAAAGGTGTGTACATCAAGCACACCACTCACTAACACCTATGAGAAGCAGAGGAAGAATGTGTGCATATGATTAGGGGCCTGGCCTCGTCTTGATAGTTTGGGACAATTTCCCTGAAGAAGTGCCATCCTAGATGAAACCTTTTTCACCCCGCCCCGGGCCTCGTCCTCTGGAATCCATTCATGCAGCCCTGCCCACCCTTTGCTGGGCCCGACCCCCGCGGACCTGCCTGCCGTCCCGCCGGTGTTTCACGAGCGTCACCTCCCCGTAGCTGCCTTTGCCCACGACCCGCACGTAGCAATAGGCGGCCAGGGGCATGTTCCTGACGCAGACCCACAGTCGAGATGTGGCGGCAGCAGGTAGGGCGGCGGGCCGCAGCAGGAGGTCCCGCTCATGCCCAAGAGACTGCGGTAGGGTGGGCTATGGAGACCGCCTGGCAGGGGTAGGAGCACCTAAAGCCGGCCCGCGGCGACGCCGCTGCCATAGCGATCCCAGTCGGCTCAGTCCTGCGCATGCTCTGGCTTTCCCACAGGACCCGCCATAGAGCTGACGTGGGAGAGGCCAGAGTGGTTTTGCCGCCCTGGGAGAACCTGCCATAGAGCCGCGACGCTGGCCGGCTAGAGCGACTCCGCCGGGTCCTGCGCAAACTCCCTGAGCCTCGGCTCAACTGCACAATTGCCATTTACTGTGGGAGCTTCTGCTGGTTTTGCAGTTGATGATTCTAAGAGATTTATGCGTATGGTTCATTCATTCTATGAATATTTACTGATCGCCTGTGTGCTTGTCTGTCAAAGTCCTTGCCTTCCTGGAGCTCACATTCTAATGTGTGGGTCTGCGTGTGACATATGCTCGCTTTATCTCATGCATAATAGTCTGTGCACCCAAGGTCCATCTTTTTGATACTTTGCAAAGTAAACAAAGTTGAAGATATCAGTACTTTTCCAACCGTTTGGTCCAGCCAACACCTCCCTTTCCTAGGAGCATTTACTTTAAAAAAAAAAAAAAAAGTATTCAATTAAAAATCTTTCCCCTGCCCCTGATAAGTAGATTTAGATAGACGAGAGATGATCTAGATATATCATGCAACACAGGAGTATCTTTCTCAAGGACTGAAATCCCTTCTTTTGAGATTTAATCATCAGTAAGGGTTAGGTCTCTGTCTCCAGTCTATGTGGGAGAATAGAATCCTAATTTCCACATTGCCAGCTAGCAAAAACAGCTGGTTTAATTATATTTACATTGACCAACCCATTGTAATTTTTCATTTCCATTTATCTATGTGAGCCCCCTGCTCACTCCTCTTTACTCCCTCATTCTCTCTTTATAACGCCCAGTCACCTCTACATAAATTGGAATGAAGCTCAGCTTTTCTTCCTACATCAGTAGTTACTGAATAAAAATCTGTTTTCTCTGCTTTTTACTAAATCCTGGCTTTATCTTTACCAACATCATTAACTTAAGTCCAATATTTGTTTATGATTCTTTTTTTTTTCTTTTAGTTTTCTTGTGAAAACGAAATTTGCATTGCACAAATTTATTTATTTGTTTGTTTGTTTGTTTGGCTTTGGTACTGGGGATTGAACTCAGAGGCATTCGAGCACTGAGCCACATCCCCAGCCCTATTTTGCACTTTATTTAGAGACAGGGTCTCACTGAGTTGCTCAGTACCTCACCTTTGCTGAGGCTGGCTTTGAACTTGCAATCCTCCTGCCTCAGCCTCCTGAGCTGTAGGGATTACAGGCAGGCACCACCATGCCCAGCGAAATATGCAAATCTTAAACGTAAAATTAGATAATGTTGACAAATCCCTTCACCAAACTCTATCAAGATATAAACCAAAAGAAGCCGGGAGCACTAGCGCACTGACAAAACTGACAGTAGGGACTCAAATAAACACCCATGTTCATAGCGACATTATTCACAACAGCCAAGAACTGGAAGCAATCTAAGTACTCATATTTGGATATTGGATAAGCAAATTGTGCTATATACAGATATTGGAATATTATTCAGCCTAATTAAAGGAAGGAAACTGACATGCTGCAACATGGCTGAACCTTGAGGACATTATGCTAAGGGAAACAAGGTAGTGACCAATGTGACTTGTGTGAGATATCTAGAGTAGGCAAATTCATAGAGACATAGGAAGTAGAATGGTGTCAGTGGATGAGGAGGGGCGAAATAGGAGTTAGTGTTTAATGGATACAAAACTTAATTTGAGGAGAATGAAAAAGATCCAGGGATGGATGGTGGTGATGGTCCCATAACAATGTGAATATAATAGGTCACTAAGTTGTGCACTTAAAAATGGTGAAAATGTTAAATTTTTTTTAAGTTTCAAGAAAGAGCTACAGCAGTGTTTTCAACCTTTACTTCATTATTACATTCCTGAAGAGCCTTTTCAGACTGCTTTTTCTAATTACTCCCCTGCCATGAATGTTTTTTAATATTTATTTTTTAGTTATAGGTGGACACAATATTTTATTTTTATGTGGTGCTGAGGATCGAACCCAGTGCCTCACACGTGCTAGACAAACGCTCTACCACTGAGCCACCACCCCAGCCCTAAATTATACTTTACATACTCTTTTGCATCTGGTTGTTCATTCAGTACAATATCTATGAAATTAATTTCTGTCATTTCTATCAATAACTTGTTCCTTTTTAAAAAAAAATTTTTTTTAGTTGTAGACGGACACAACACATTTATTTTATTTTTTATTTTTATGTGGTGCTGTGCTAGGCAAGCACTCTACCGCTGAGCCACAACTCTAGCCACAATAATTTGTTCCTTTTTATTGCCAAAGAATATTGTAATTGCACAAATACCTTGCAATTTGTTTATCTACTTACTTGTTAATGGGTATTTGTCTTCTTTCCCCTTTGGATTATCATAAATAAAGATTTTATAAACATTGGTGTCTTTTTGAGAATATACTGGGTAAATATGTAGGAATGGTGTTGCTAGGTCATAGGATGGGCAAATAATTAGCTTTATAGGGAGGGATTTATTTTTACATCAAGTGAATTAGCTCATATATCTTTCCATCAACACCATGAAGCTGGTACTATTATCATCCCAATTTTAACTGAGTTTCTAAGGAGTTAAGAAGCTCAAAACATCTGAATGCCTTGCCCATGCCAGGCGCGGTGTGCATGCCTGTAATCCTAGCTGCTCAGGAGACTGAGGTGGAGAAGCCCAAGTTCAAAGCCAGCCTCAGCAACTTAGTGATGCCTTAGCAACTAAAAAAGACCCTGTCTCTAAATAAAATATATATTTTTAAAAGGGGCTAAGGATGTGACTCAGTGGTTAAGCATCCTCGGGTTCAATTCCCAATATGAGAAAAATTTTTAAAATGAGAGAGAGAGGGAGACTGAGTAGCACACTAGACTCGAGTCACCGTTAGCGCTCCTCATCCTCTTCTTTGCACTGCTCCCACCATGGCCACTTATTCATGCTTCTAGCACCTTTCATCCATGGACCAGGTTTGTACTAGCCATCTTTCAACAATCCACACTCTTCCTTTCTTTTCTTTCTTTCTTTCTTTTTTTTTGAGATGGAATCTCCCTGTGTGGCCAGGCCCAGCATCCAACTCCTGGGCCCAAATGATCCCCACCTCCCATCCCTCCAGCTGCTTGTAGTAGCCTGGACTACAGGCATTTACACTACAGCGCTCACCCATCAACAGTACAGTCTTGAACTTGTCATACCCCTCCTCAAAATATCTTTTTTTTTTTTTTTAATGTCAAAATTTAGGGGCTAGGGTTGTGGCTCAGCGGCAAAGCACTCACCTAGCACGTTCAAGGCCCTGGGTTTGATCCTCAGCACCACATAAAAATAAAATAAAGGTTTTGTGTCCAACTACAACTCAAAAAAATAAAAATTAAAAACAATTATTCCATGTTGTATTACTTTTTTCTTTTTCTTTTTTCTTTCTTTTTTTTTTTTTTTTTT